CCGACCACTGACTAGTTCTTCAACCACCTGCTGTCTTCCTATTGTCTGGAAGAAATTCTATTTGCAAATCTCTTCTGTAATGTCCTTTTTCTCCCCACCCCAACCCCACTGTCCCCTAGTCCAGTCTACCAAGAGTTCCATCTCCTTCTTGCAGACTCTCCCAAGAGAAGGGGAAGGGCGTGCTGAAATTTCACCTGCCCTGCCGGGCGACCTGATGGTTGAAGAGTGGGTTTGGCTAAACTACACTGCAATTACCTGGGGCTGGGACGCTGTAATTATTCTCCAGATTAACACCAAGTACACGTGATCAAAATTATCTTTTCCCTCGCCTTCCATAAACATCCCACGCCTGTGAATATGTTATGCACATTTTTATGCAAAGAAGCATGTTCCTCTAAATTAATAAAAAAACATACCCATTCAATTCAGAGACTGCGATCACTTAGAGTCCTGTGCCCCAGATGTATTGCTTTCTGTGTGTCTGCACCTGATATTTCTATAACCCCAAAACCTTAAAAGGATTAAAAATAGATGCAGTCAGCTACAAGAGACTCCAGGCTCTTCGTCCAGTTTGTTTAATCTATGTTCCTTTGGCTTGTGTGCTTTTCCTCCAACCCTTAAGATTCTCCTTTCAAACAGAACATAAAAGATCACACCGAGCCTTGGAAGTCCCAGGACTGGACCTAACTCAGAGAATAAGGTAACTGAGCACCTGAAAAACAGAATCTGACATTTTTAATTGTTGTAATAGGTGTTTACCATCACTCTTTCTCCCATATTTAATGAAAGGCACTGCCTCCTAAAAGTTGCCTAGATGTTAATGTTCAGTTATTCATATTTAAATAATGCCTGACAGCACTGAGAAAGACTTTGGAGATTTTCTATTACCCAGCTGGGCAAACCTGAGCCACAGGCTCCTTACCCACCTCACAGACACGCAGACACACACACAGACACACACACACACACAGCCATTTATTTGCAGAAAACCAGACACATGGACACAGAGAGGAGCACACACTCACAGATGCACACACAGGCACAGACATATACAGACACAAAGACACTAATTCCCCAAAGCAAAGCTTATGTACCACGAAATGGTCTTACCTGCAGAGGGAACTCATACCCTATCCACAAAAAGGTTCTTTAATCTGTGCTGGCGTCTGCAAGGCTGGGATCCTTCTCATGCTCAGCACAAGACACTTCAGGTGCTGAAGGACTTCCCGCTTTTATAACCCCACATTGGGCTTGCCAACATTGTATAACCACACCACCCAGTCAGAAATGCTATCTGTTTCTGTTACACAACAGCCACCCCTGGTTACAAACGGTAGCTGCAAGCCTTAGCATAGCCTGCTTACCGCGTCTGCATCTCTCTAGACGGCCGGCTGGATATTCTATTGTGGAAACCAAGCAGCTGCTGGGATTACATTTCTCAAACCCACACAAATAAGGGAAATTAAAACCTATCTTTCCAAATCCTTCCGTTCAAATGAACAAGTCCGCCCACACTGCTTTCAGCTTCAGTAAAAAGGGGGGATTAATTCTACTCCCTGGTAATTTTTCATTTCCCCATTTGGGGGTCCAAAGACAAGTGTTTTCAAAGATTAAAAATAGATCTCAAGGTATGATCTCTTCCTTAAATGATAGGCAAAGCCAACAAATCGCTGTAACGTTGAGCACTAACCAGTAGAACCCGGTTAGATGAGGCATCTGGTGTGCAGGTGCCAGTGACAGAGGCCCCAATGAAATGCCCATGAAGACACAAAGAAGAGGGAAGAAGCCACATCTGCAGTCAGACTTTATTCTTTCTAGTCCTGAGGCCAGGCCAGAACCTGCGAGAAACCTAGGAGTGAGCACCTCCCCACCTCGGAATGTGCTGCGAGGACAAATCCCTGCCTCCATCTCCCCAACCCCAGACTACACTTCTCCAATCCAGACAGGGACCATAAGGCTCACATAAGAAACAGCCAGGAAGAAGGGGCACTACCAGCAACCAAGCACATCTTAGAAGATGGGGTCTCTGGGACAAAGAAAGAAGAGGTGCCAGGACAACTCCTGGAGGAAAGGAATTCTAAGTGTTACTTACTTGTGAATAAACTTAAGGAAATCAGCAGTGAGCATAAGGGGAAGATTCCACTTGATGGGAGGAGAAGCCACAGGAGAAACTGGAGAGAAGACTGAGAGCCAAATACTTTAACTGGGCAGGAGATTCACCACAAGTGCCACAGGTCACACGGGACACACCCAACCCATCGGGTCAACATGCCCAGGTAGACCAGAACACCCCTTGCTCCTCAGTGAGCAAAAAGAAAAACAATCCGGCACGCAGCCTACAAACAAAAAAACACTCCGAGTTTCTGTATCCTGAACACAAGAACTGTGCTCAAGATGTTCTGTGAAGCCAGTAACCTCAGAAAGATCCTACTGTAGAAAGGAAAAGTTCAATTTGAACAAAGGAGAAAAAAATGAAAAACAAACCAAAGAGTTGCTATTAAAGGGGGAAAAAGAAAGGAAAGAAGAGCAGATGATTAAAGAAAATGGGCTGAAACCAAGGGGATGGGGAAGAATTATAAGGAAACTAAAATTAACTGAGAAGAAAAAAAGAGAAGTGAAATTGTAGAAAACTGAAAGGTGGAAGGTAAGCTGGAGAAACTCTGCTGCTGCCTGGATTACTACCTGAAAGGCAACTCCAGTTCAGAGACAGAACCACGAGGGGGAAAAGCAAAGAGCACAGCCAAGCCATGAGCAATCCGTGTTTCTTAACTGGACTTAAAGACAAAACGAACATAGAAGCCAGTCATGTTGTATGATTCCATTTCTATGAAATGTCCAGAACAGGCAAAGCTAGAGGCAGAAAGCAGATCAGTGGTGGCTGTGGTGGAAATGGGGGACCAGAATAGGGAGTGACTGTTAATAGGTTGGGGATTTCTTTATGGGATGAAGAAAGTGCTTTAAAATTTGATTGTGGTGATGTCTGCACAAATCTGATTTTTGAGCCACTGAACTGTACAATATAAGTGGAATAACTTTATGGTATGTGAATTATATCTCAATAAAACTTTGTTATAAAGAACATATGGGCCCTAGCTGGTTTGGCTCAGTGGATAGAGCGTCGGCCTGCGGACTGAAGGGTCCCTGGTTCGATTCCGGTAAAGGGCACATGCCTGGGTTGCAGGCTCGATCCCCAGTAGGGGGGGTATGCAGGAGGCAGTCAATCAAAGGAGGCAGGCAGCCAATCAATGATTCTCTCTCATCACTGATTTTCTATCTCTCTCTCCCTTTCCCTTCCTCTCTCTGAAATCAATAAAATATATATTTTTTTAAAAAAGAACAAATGGAACAGACTTAAATTAAATACAAAAGTATATGATTAAAAAACTATTCTGAAGAAAAATCTGAGTATAGAGATTACAGGGGCACATCAGAATCACAAAATCAGAGAGAAGAAA